TATTATACTATTAACTTATTGGAAAAGACTTAAGTGCCCTTATTTAAGTAAGAGGCACTCGAACTAACATAACAGTACACATCAACATTCTCAACAAGTGCAAAGACCAAAATACCCCTTCACTAACACCACTAACACTGGGTCAAGTCAGGGGTCGGCTTGTGATCTAATTGGGTGTTTGAGCTGGGCGTGGAATGTTTCGAGCTTTTGCTTGTTTGGTGTTGATCTGTTGTTGTTTGTAGTGATTGTGGTGATTTCTTATCACCGTTTGCTCTCCTCTCTTTCTTCTTTCCTCAAAAAATTTTTTCATCATTTATCTTCAAAAGAAATGAAACCTAATTCACCTCAACTGCAGAATCCAATTGTAAAAGAACTGGGACAGGCGAACCAAGAGTAGGCATTATGATCCCTGCTCTTTCCCGGGCCTTGTGATCCAAAACCTCCAATTTGAAAAGAAGAGCCTCGAACCTGTTTTGGCATGCATATGCACAGACAATTACCACTGGTGACAAGAGAAATATCAATTTTAGAAAAGGAAAAAAAGGCAGCAAGAATTGTTCAATGGTTTCAAAGAAAACAATTTCCAAAACAATATTTTGTAATCACCTAATACAAGTATTTCTAGGTTGTGGACTGTACATACTCCTATGGACACGAACACCAAAAGGTAGCTTCTTACATGCACGTTGGTCTCCATCAACTGAGACCTCGGAATTTAAACTTTATATATTACAAAATTAAAATGAATTAAAGAAAAAGGTGTAAACAAGTGGTTGAGCTCAAGTGCTACACATGGCAGCATATGCAAGAGAAAGTAGTTTTGATAAGCAACATGTGCATTTTGTAGACAAATTGTAATTTAGTAGTACTCAATAAGCATTACAAACAATCCTTTTCTCCCAAAAAAGAAACCCTATCCTCACTATTATTTTAAAAAGATGGAATAGAAAATTAAGTTTGAAAATATATTGTAATGCATATTTGAGGTTATCGAAGGCAAAGGCCCCAATAGATAAAAAAAAACAGAAAATTAGGGTTGTCTTGGGACATCGATCAGAAAAGAGGTTTGGGGGAAAATAAGGTGTCACTGGCTATGGATCCTCTCTATTCCCTTCACTTGGACCTTGAACTCCATTGGCTTGTTCTCTTGTGCCTCCTTTGGAAAGGTCCTTTGTGGTGCTGCCTAAAGCATGGTTTAAAATGTCCCTAATGTTTGCTGGAACACAACAGCCGAAGAAGAAGAAGAAGAAGAAGAAGAAGAAGAAGAAGTTTTGAACAAGAAGGAATACTCACTTCAGCCGACCCTACAATCTTATATAGATGATTATAAAATAATGTTACATGAATGGACTAGAATGCCCMTGATTAGTGATGGGACACCTAGACAAATAAAACATTAAACAAGTTTAGGCCCAATAACTAAGAACTTACGACACAAATATGACTAACATAAACACTAAAAACAGCCGAACCAAAACTCCCCCTCAAGCTAAGCATGGATGTCAGTCATGTTTAGCTTGCCAAGTAAGTCTGAGAACTTCGTTGAAGCTAGTCCTTTAGTTAACATATCCGCAATCTGCATCTCGGAAGGAGTGTAAGGAATGCAGAGTTCTCCTGAAACGATTCTTTCTCTAACGAAGTGTCGGTCAATCTCAATGTGCTTCGTCCTATCATGTTGCATTGGGTTATTTGCAATGTTGGTGGCAGCCATGTTGTCACAGTACAGCCTGAGTGGACACTCGACCTTTACCACGAGCTCAACAAGAAGGGTCCTAAGCCACAGTAATTCAGCAACACCATGAGCCATAGCTCAATATTCAGCCTCTGCACTTGATCTAGAAACCACATTCTGCTTTTTACTTTGCCATGTAACCAGATTTCCTCCAACAAACGTGCAATACCCAGAAGTAGACTTCCTGTCGCCAACAGAGCCAGCCCAATCTGGATCAGTATACGCTTCAATTTCAATTATATTGTGTTTTTTGAACAGAATTCCTTTCCCTGGGCAAGTCTTCAAGTACCTAAGAATTCTTCCCACTGCTCTCATATGAGGAATCTTTGGAGAGTGCATGAACTGGCTGACAACATGTACAGATATCAAATTCCCTACCAGTTTTTGGTATCTTTCTTTATCAAGGTAGTCCTCTCCAACTGATTCCTGTAGACCATGGTTCTATTCTATTGGAGTATCTGCTGGTCTACACTCCATCATACATGTCTCCCCTAGAAGGTCAAGGACATACTTCCGCTAACATATATAGATGCCCTCTTGTGACCTAGCAACTTCAATTCCAAGGAAGTATCTCAGATGGCCCAAGTCTTTGATCTCAAACTCAAAAGCCGAGAACTCCTTTAATCTTTGTATCTCTTCCAGATCATCCCCTGTAATCACCATATCATCCACATAGGCGATGGGTATCGTAAGTCGGCTATTTTGTTTCCTTATGAACAAAGTATGATCTGCACCACTTTGAGTGTATCCCACTCTCTTCATGGCCCCACAAAGTCTCTCAAACCAAGCCCGAGGAGATTGCTTAAGGCCATATAATGCTTTCCTCAGTTTACATACTTTCCCATCAAAGCCAAAACCTGGTGGAGGATCCATGAATACCTCTTCACATAGGTCACCATTTAGAAAAGCGTTCTTCACATCCAACTGATGT